TTTAGAGGACCGACTAGGATTCTATACAAGGCTGTATATGTTGAATAACGAAAAACAGTTGGTAGATATGTTTCCTATTTAGTCAGAAGTAAGCGAAATGCAACCCTCAATGATTTATCGCTGAAGGGTTACCAGTTTCATGTTGTCTTGTTTTGGCTGCCTACAATAGATCATCTATAAATCATATTTGTGGTGTGGCCAAAAAGCTAGGTGGCTCACCACCGTGGTCCACTTTGATGAATGTTGGTTGGCTGAAGACGATCGCTATGAAGCCCAAGACCCAGGTTTCATGCTTGTTGGCACTCAGCTGCAAAGCATATCCACAACTGCGAGCGAACCAGGGTCCAATGTATGTTTCGAACCTGTGTCACCCAAGTGCTGTAGTCAGAAACGTTACCAGTGAGCTTATGCAAAATAATAGTTTCCTTAAGGTTCCAGATGCGCCATGATGATGTGTGCCAACAGGTACGTAACTTAGGTTCAGAGCTTTCCACTGAATGCTTCGAAACGACTAAATACAATCTTTTATTAATGAGTAATAATCCAAGTTGGCACATCTCACATCATGACAAGGAGATAGATGTCAAAGCGAAAAACTACAAAGAAACGACTGTCATATTGTCATAAGTAATAAAAACATACTCTAGTTAAAGGAAATGACGAATTATGATATCACACATAAGACAAACTTAGGTTGTGGATGCATACACATCACTGCAATCAATTCTTCAATTAATGAGGAGGTGAATCTCCCTCAAAATCCCTAAACAGAGACTTCATGGACTAATGCTGTGCTTCAAACAGGACACCATTAGCCCTCTTGTCAGTCCAGTCCAGTCCCACTACCATGAATACAGCAAACATACAACTAAGACAGACTGTTCTAGGATGAGACCAACTAATTATTCATGTCAGTTTCATACTCGTCTAATGTCTAATCAGATAACTTTTCCTACGCATTATACAACCAATTTGTGTGAATAATCTTATTCACCTATTGTACTGAGTTTCTGTCATGCGCTTCTCTGATAAAGTGCTTTGTAATAAAACTAACTTCTAAATAATAAATGTATGCATCGATTATTAATCTAATCAAAACTTCTTCAGTATAATACCAATCCAGTCTTTTCTTCGTTAATCGGATATTTTTCACTGTACAGTAGAAACGTATTTCACAGGTGTTAGCAACTAAAAATCTCTATCTCTACACCAGTGATGTAGTATTTTAATAACCTTGTTACATTCAACTTTGATATTTCTAATACTATGAGAGTACAAGTTTTAAAAATGAATGTAACTTGATAGAATGGATGATATCAGTAAGAAAACTGACATAACAACACGAGCTGAATACAAAGTTATTAAATAAGGTGAATTGTACACACTTTATACACTTTAAGATTGTAGTTAATACACCATTTAATCTGATGATATCATATTAACAAGCCTTTAATCATATATTATAGTGGCAAGATCACATAACTCGCGGACTGATTCAAAATAGGGTCAACAATGAACCTAGAATGACGCAAAATTTAAACGTTTTATGACATAAAGTTAGAAGTTATACACTTAGCTTTCGTCACTAACAAATATCACTTGGAGAACTACTGAAAAGCTGAAGTTAGTGGACAGCTGTTTTTTCCTAGTCAGGAACGTCTTAGTAGTGTGCTTCAATGGCCTCAAGAAGGACTAACCACAATGTCATCAAATCTTATGGTAATCACACCACTGTTCAGCAACTGGTTTGGAAACAGGTCAAACAGAAATAAGCCTTATTATCTGGATCATAAATTAAATTAATCTCGATTTTACAATAGTCTGAGGTTTTGGGAATAAGGAATAATGTTGTCCTCTTGTTAAAAACTTATCATGAGCAAAATTCTGATCAGCACTTAAGCATAGAAAGTGAACTCGAAAAGATGTACAATGACTAATCATGACTTTCTATTAACCAACTAACTGAAAATGTAAAGGTTCAGTTGTCTGAAGATCTGTTTGCATATTCCACAGAAGATTCAATAATATTACACAGAGATCATTTAAATAATAACATTAATCTGAATTATTCCTGGAAATCTAGTTGTAAAGAACAGAATTCTTTCATTTCTTGATAAACTGCCTATGTCACATATGAACGTTTATAACAGAATCAAGCGTTATTAAGATTCAATTAAAAATAATTCATTATCTAAATGATTATACTGTGTAAATAATACTATAAGGCGATACTTTAGTAAAACAATAAGATAGTGTTTATGTTTACCGTAATTGTAATTGATGCTGATAGTTAGTGTTTCTACAGTTTAAAGTATTCTGTGCCGGGTACCTTTTAGCAAGTTGATGGGAATATGGCACATAGTGGGAAACGATTCATTCATATCTATTTTATGGTGTGTTTCAACCGACTGTGTTAATATGAAGCTAATAATGGTCTTTACCATGTTGAAAAGCCTTCACTAGCACGAAAAATTAAGTTCTAAGAGCAGCAGCCAACGTAGTTGCTTCCACAGAAACAGTCGAATTGATAAACACAAAAGGAACTTATCATTCCAGGGAATTCATATTTCAGTCTCAATGTTATCACTGGGAGTGTGGAAAAAGGAATTTTGTAAATTACCAGCATTTAAAGGTCTCTGAAATGATCTGAGTATTTTTCAAATTGACATCTCGGTGAACATCTTCTCCTCTAAAATTTATCCGAATGTATAGCAGTTTTCTGCTAGTTGTAGGAACATCTTTTCTTATCATGTTTGTAATCACTTATTTCTTAATGAATTTTTCATTTCCAATTAGTGTGGTACGCAAAGTCATCAGTTCTTCCTCAACTGTATCTTACGAATATATAATATTCTCTATTCTGTGACTTAAAGTTTATAGTAAATTTATTTTAAACTAAAGAGGGATGTGTGTATTGTCCTATTCATGCTCTTTTTCTAAATAAATTCCTCTTTATCCACTCAACTTTTCGTCTTGACAGAAGAAGATCTAGAAAAGCTGTACTCTCTCACTCATATGTATATACTACGGAGTTCACATAAGCTAGTCAGTAAATCTCTAGACTCTCATAAATTTTGCAGACTCATGACAATGGCAAGATGAAGATGACTGAATGACTTTACTTCGGTCCCGTAAGCGTGTTACAGATACACAGCGTACATTTATGTCTTCAGATTTACGAATTTTGACAATAGACACCTGTTGTCCGATTTTCGGCACAGGGTCCCAAGGTTAAAACCTCAAATGCGAAATCGATAGCATGGCTTGAGGAGACTAGGAATGGGATTGTACCTGATTGCATCATTCTTAAACAGGAGAGGATGGAAAGCTGTGAAACTATGTGAGATTTTATGTTGGTATCAAGAAGTGAAGACATGGGTGAAACAAAGGTGGGGAAGTAGGTTATGGTTACACGGTGATACCCATTATGGATATAAGTTAGAGAGCCAGTAAAAAACTAGGAGCACTGAGCTACTGTTTCATACTTCAGTAGGACTCCTCAGCAGTGTACACTCACCGCTCACACTAGAGTTTGAACCCTGAATTTTCAGATCCTGAAGCGAGTACGTTACCATTGGATCAATGGGTCCACATCTCCCTACTTCTGTCAATTTGCGACATAGATGTCATCATTAGGTATCCACTTTAATTCCCACTGATTTAACTCCATAAGTTGTAGCTACTGATTAGCACTACCAAAAAACTCCTATTGAAGCAGGGCATTAATATACATTAGGAGATTATTTAGTTTGGAAGAATAAAATACCAGAATGAAATAGCTTTCTACTGCTCTAACGTTTTCGATGATTCTCCAACCATGATGAATACCATCGTGAAATCAATAATGCACATCAGCCTCGAAACCAAATTAAATTATGCTTAGTTGCGTTTTATGTGGAACCAGAAACGTGTGGCCAGCAGGAAAGTACAAGTAACCCATAGCTATTTAAAAAGTTTCATAAGGTATGTAAAACAGAAAAGGAAATAAATTTGCATGACGTCAAAGCCCAAAAAATCTGTTTCAAGCTGATCATACACGGTGGTTTAAGTTTCAGATATAAGTTTGTTTTTCTTGAATACAGCTATAACTTCCTACTACCTGTATTGGAAGGCCACGAAGTAAGAAGAGATTTGCTATTTTAGTAGTCGATCTATTGAAGCATCCCCTTCTCACAAGGAATGAGGCATCAGAATGTTACTGGTGTTCATCTGCAGGAAGCGCTTTACTGCTGTCATAGTCTCTACGGCCACTAGTACAACTTTCCCATAGGACTTCCATCATACAGAAGCTATTTATAGGATAATGGTAATTGCTTGCAGCCCGACCAGTATCCAACAAACTTTCATGGTATGGTGGTACCTCACGGAACAAATTTTTCGACCAGAATAGCTCGTTTGGTCATTGTGTTATCTAAGCCTGAGCACCACACATGGTAGCATCTATTGTTTAGAAGATATCACTTGTTTGGTGATAACTGTAGAGTTTTGATGCTAAAAGCCAATAAAGGGTTGATAGGAAGCGACCTAAATAGAAACTTCAAGTCATCAGCTGTTAAGGAAGTAGTTTTGGATTTCAACCTTGGTCTCATGTTACTGTGAGGAAGGAAAAGTCATTGAACAATTTTGTCCTACAGCTGATCAATCAAAATTATTATTCACCCTTTGACCTAGTGGCTTTATTTTATGAAGAAAAACTATATATATACCCAGTGCCAGTGTGTCATTGCGTTATTAGCGTTTTCGTATGTCGTATTATTGTCATTTACTTCCACGCAGTCACTTTAAGGATCTTGACTCTAGACAATATCAAGTTGTAATAACATCTAAACCGAAGTATTTATGTGTTCATCTCTGGTTATGGATAAAACAGCTCGTAAGTTAGGTAATCAACTACAACAAGGGAATCATCTGATTCTAACAAAAGTCTAGATATCACTTTCACATAAAAATAAACTTCAATAATTAACAAGAATATGATTGAATTTATTTGACAAACTTACATGTAATGCATAGTGAAGACTTTTTCCATCTATAACAAGTCCGATAGGTTCATGTGCCATACCTGGTCTTTTCCTGTGCTTCCTTCTGATATATGGGGCTTTTATACTGATTGGTATTAGACTCTTTCTTTCTGGTGATACTTTATTCCGAGAATAATAGTAAACATCTTGTTTGAGCTCTTTATCTTCTTCCCTATATGACGATGATTCTGATATTGGTGTTTGCGATCTTGTGTCAGAAATGATAGTATGAACTCTTGGTAAAATGAAATCACCAATAAATGATAACCTAGAATTCCTTAATCCTTTTTCTGTGTTTTTCACATGAGATTTTAAACGTTCTAACTGTTCATATACTTTATAGGCTGTTGATTGTAAATCTGAGCAATTTGTTATTCGTATTAATGTCATATTTGGTGAGAAATGTCCAACAGACTGACTAACTGTGATAGCTGTCTCAGCTTTATCTCCAGTCAGTATCCAAATCTACAAAAAAAAAGTGATAAAAAGATGTGAAAAGGAGTAGTTAAAGCATAAATCAATATTTTAAAAACATGTTGCTGTGTTATCAGAGTAACCTTAGTTGAGTAGTTTTTTGCACACGAAAATGGGATATACGTAATATTGAATGGAACAGATGGGTTAATGCTGATATATGAGCTCCTTTATGGAAGCCTCGAAATTATCAGGAATTTAGTTTTGAATCTATTGATAGATAGTGGTTAGCAGTGGAATCCTGAACATATGTTCAACTCTCCTTGACAGTGTTCATCTAAATGTATCTCGCTTCCAGTGAGTGGTGGTATTCCCATAACACGAAACTAGAAGTTATAATATCAAACTGTGCTCATCACCCAAGGGGTGACATTCACTACTAAGTAGTTTAGTGGATAACGTTTCGATGTTTGAAGAGATGAATGTTGAGCTTGAGTCTCAATAGGAACAGAAGCACTCACTGGGAGACAGATATATCCACCTAAAGATTCTGGCTTCATATAAAACTGAACAAGAGTGAAGGAAACGTTTATTTGTAGGGCATACTTCTGACCACCGAAAAAGTACGTACGTTGCACTTTAGTTATTTTCCACAGATGTTTTTGTTGAAAGTTGAACACATTTCTTCTCCAGATTAATATCGAAAGAAATGATGTCCCAATGTTTATATAGATGCACTGGAATAATGTACTTCGGTGTTTGCTAACGGGGCTTCTTAGGGACATGGATATCTGAATACTGCGTTTAGCTCGATTTTGATGCTATTTTTCCCAGTTATAACTAGTAGAAGAATAGAGTAATTCCCTCAAAAAGTCCGTATGCCAAAGGAGACAAAATAATTGACAAACCAGAGAAGAATATACTGCTGAGCATAATATACTATAGTATATAATTATGTATTATGAAAACTGTACATATTGACACTTTCCCTATTAAATTGTCATGATTATGATGTCAAGTATATAGATCAAATCAGCGGGTCGGAGTCATTTGGAATAGAGGGGCACAAATATTTAGTAAAACGTACAATAGTAGACCCTGCTAAGTAATTTAGGCAACAACTCCACTATCAGTCTCCCTGCACTGACCTATACTCCTTTTATATAGTAGGAGAGGGTTACAATTTTAAAACCCAATATAACAACTAGTTGCAGCCAGAGAGTGATCATAGAATCTGTGTTCATTGGATTAACACCTAACACATATGTAACGGGAATGATTCATTACATACTGGAGATACCTGGAGCAGTTGACTATCATTTGAAACAAACGAATGATGAACTATTAGACTATATAAATGAAGCTTGAAAGTCATATGATTACTCTGATATGAATATGAACAATAAATTCTTCTTGAAACGTTTTAATCAAGTGAACTTTACTGTATCACTGTGTGTTTTACTAATCAGATAAACAATCTGATATGGAATTATACTCTACCATAGTAACCAAGTTTTTACTCTTATTTATAGTTGAATTAGAATAACTTTCTATTCCATAAACATTTTTATAGTCTCTTCTGAGTAAACAATGGACACAATGTACGCCATTCTCACTTCACTATTTACTAACCACAGTCTACATTATCTCAGTAATCTCTTCTGGTATTAATTACACTTACTACAATCTTTCTGTGTATTAATTACTAAGTGTTGCCTTGTTTTTCAGCAGGATAATTAATATAACTTTTAGTAGATATTCAAAGACTGCTACTGACTCACCTGTGCAGGAGTAGAAGGAGAAAATTCTGAAACAAAACTTAAAGTTCTTAGAAATACGAGAAACCCTATACAATTCCTTCTATTTAGGGACCTAAATAGTCTTAGGTTCTTTACTAGTCATGTTCGGAAACAGAGAGGAGCTTTGTGGTAGCATATATGAAACCATCTCCAAGAATCTTAGACTAAATGATCCATATAAACTAAAGAGAGTGTTCGCGCGTCACCTAACTGATAATGGGTACTGTATACACAACCTCAAAGTGACCAATAAGCAAGCGAACTAAAGCCTATTACAGTTTTTCATCGAGCTTTTGTAAGTTCAGAACACCTAATAACCTTATAACTAATTTATCTTCATCTTACAATCCTAACAGTCTCATCTACTTTAACTACCTATATGATTTGTAATACATTTTACCGGTTGAATGTGTTGATAAATCCTTGACAAGTATTTTGATACCATTTAGTTGGTATGCTTTACAGTAGTATATACCGACTGATCACCGAAATACAACCAATTTCGTGTTGTTCATTCGTGAGTGCTGACCACTTCTGTCGATCATTTTGCAATGTAACCGTAGAGCTAAAAGGCTGACCATCGCGATGCAGTTTTGTGTAAGTTAATTGTCTGGAGGCAATCAGTACGTTTAATTCAGTTTAAAAATAGGTTAGTGGTGGTCCGAATAGCTCGGGGATAACGTCACTGACTACAACACTGGCTGACATGGGTTTGAACATTAGGTAAGATACCAGTTCCGTAGAGGTTGCAGATAAGCTGATGAGTGCCAGAAAGCTCGAAACCTCGGTCAAGCAAGGCTTCCTGCTAATTTCTCCCAACCAACTAGTAGTTGAGAAGTGTCTTATAAATAATCTGGCTACACTTGCTTTTTTTCTTAGGCTGTTCAAATAGCCAATGCTTGCATTCGTACCAACATGCAGGAAGATGCTACGAACTACCTTGTAGTAGTTGTGCAATCAACACTATCTGAGTCGAAATGTTGTTCCTAGAGAAATCTATATCACTTCAATTTCTCTACTGTAGATAGAAAACCTAATCTTGAAGTTCACAAGAATAAAGGTTTATGAATTACTCACCATGAATCTAAAATATCTCCGTAACATGATACCAACAAAAGATAATTTGTGCTGTAGCATTCCAGATGATTTTGACAGTGTAGCTAGATATTAAGGATAAGTGGTGCTTAGCAGTAGGATCGAGAATGTACACTTCGTTCCATTTAGGATTCGTCAGTTGCAGTTATCGACTAGTTATTGGGTGTTCTTTACTCCTAATGACGCCTGTATCTAATACGCATCTATTCAAACATCAGAGAGTTCATAGACACTGTATGATTAACGTGCACAGTTTGATTATAATAATAATAATAATAATAATAATAATAATAATAATAATAATAATAATGATAATAATTATTATTATTATTGTTTGTCCCTTGGATTCATAGTGGAACATACAACTTCAGTAGCACGCCTCCATCCCACTCTCTTCTCTGCAATCTTTCCAACCTGGCTCCAACACTGCCCACAACCTCTCATTTCATCTTCGCACAATCTCCTCCATACCACCCCCACCTCGAGTGCTCAACACTCGTTTCTCATCTGGGTTACAGTCGACGATATGACCTGTCGCGTGATGTCCCTAAATGGTCTCCTCAGTGTATCGCCACCTCCTTCTGCATATTTGTTGAGCGATAGCTTCTTGCTTCGTAGGTTCGTTGTCAGCCAGCTAGAGTTCCTCTTTGCTTATTCTTATTATTCGGGCCATCTGAGCTCCAGAAACGAGCCAGTGTAGGCAGTTGTTGATGAATGTCTGTAGTTTGTTGGAAATCCCTTTCATAACACTCCAAGTCTCTCAAACATCACATGGAAGCACTGACTTGACTGGCATTAGTGTTGAAAATCGGGATGTTGTTCACGCCTTGTCCTGAGTGCAGTGCAGTAGATCTCCACACTGGTTTCAGGTTCATGAACGCCTGTCTTGCTCTCCTTCCGATCCTGACTGGCTTTGCCATCCTCGTCTGTGCCTGTGTCGCCTGTAGTTGAAACGATGCTGCCCAAATAGGTGAAAGAGACTACTTCATTTAAGTTTCTCCCATTCATCGTGATTGGAGCTTGTTGTTGTTGTTCTTGGTGGTGGTGATGGTGGTGGTGGTGGTGTTGGTGTTATTGTTGGTTGGGTATCTTCATCATGACTGTTATCTCTACATTCACTTGAATTCGTGTCTTCACTGCCTCGCATCACCTCGCCTCACCTCGCCTCGCCTCGCCTCGCCTCGCCTCTTCTGTCAACTTGTTAGTTTTCACCTGTACATCTTCCAGTTTGTGTGACAAGACACTAGACACAAGTCATCACTGGCGAAATCCAAATCTTCTAGGATCTTTTCATCGGTCCAGCAAGCATATACCCCTCTTCTCACTCCTCACGCTTTGCTGCATGATCCAGTCGAGTCGACCACAATCAGGAATATCATGGTTGATAGTAGACAGCTTTGTCTTACCTGTCAACCTGTCTTCACTTCACTTCACTCCACATCACTTCAATTCAATTCAATTCAATTCAATGCAGTGGCATGACTGAGCTCCCCATTGTGAATTACTTGGCATGTGTGACGTCTTCATATAGTTGTTCAATGAGATTGATAAACGTTAGTGTCACTAAAACCGTAGTGTGGAAGCACTTGACAAAATCTTTCTCGGTCAACGCTGTCAAAGGCCTTCTCAAAGTCGATGAAGTTGAGGTAGAGGTACAGTTGACTGTCATTCTTTATTCTGCTCCATGATGGTGCGTAGCATAGCGTTGCAATTTGGTCCACACATGATTTGTACTTCCTCAAGCCAACCAACCTGTTCCGGTCGTAGTTTTGGATGCAGCACATCATTTAGTCTCTCCAGGATGATGCGGCTTATTAGTTTGCTTGCTTTGGGTGGACAGGAGCATGATTCCGCACCAGTTCGTGCAAACACTGAGGTCACCCTTCTTTGTGAGTTTGACAAGATTGCCCTTCTTCTTCCAGTCGGCAGGCATCTTTCCCTCTTTCCTTCCAGACCTTCGGTAACAGCGGTATGAGCATGTCCGCTGTTGTTCTTGTGTCTGTTTTCAGTGCTTCTGATGGGATTCCATCTGGTCCTGCTGCTTTCGCGTATTTCAGTAGGTTTATGGCGTTCAGAACTTGGACTTTTGTTGTAGGATTTGTGTTGAGTGGTAGTTGTGTGCCTGGTCTGCAGATGGTATTTCTGAACGAGTTGAAGGTGGTGGTGGTGGTCGATTCAAGTGCTTTTTGAAGAGTTCGATGAACTTGTATCGATTAACTTCTCTTAGTATATGAGTTTATGAGTAGATGCCTCCATATTCTTGACAATTTCTTTTAGATTATAGTATATTCTTCAAAGTATATGCAATTACATTGTCATTGTTTGAATTACAGAGTGAAAAATCATTTCTGTTTACTTTTATGAAATTGTAAACATTAATAGAATATTGTTTCAATATCGACTTACTTGTATTCCAGCTTCTTTCAGTGCTTGGATACAACTTTTAACACCAGGTTGAAGTTTATCTTCAATACCAGTAACACCTATCGGTTTCCAATCACATTCAATTTTATCATAACAATTTTTCAATGCATTAACACGAGATTGTCCAATTAAACCAGATGCTGCTTTCAAATCATTCAATAATTTTTTATAAATGTTTTCTTCTACCTTTCGTTTAACAAATACAAGTGTACGTAGTCCATTTATCGCATATTCATTTACATAACGTAATGCACATGAACGTAAACGGCTAGATTTAGCAGCACATCGCTTTGGAGAAAAATAATCACATTAGAGAGAAAATTTATTTGAATACGAGATAAATCAAGTTAGTTTTTCAATGTTTGTCTACATTTAATTGATATTAGAATGTTTACACCAACTGGAGTTTCTGGTGATTTTTTGGTTTTAAGGTAAGTAGTTTTTCTCACAGATTGACATCAATTGGTGACATGCTGAAAACCTTCGTGTATCAGATGCCGTTCCATCCTACTTAGAAACTCTACAGTAGTATACACCAGTGATCATAAAAGGCATCAAGAGAGAAACCGTCAAGTTTTGCGACGAACACGTTGTCATTCAGTTACTACATTTGCATCTAGTTATCTCTTTCTCGTGCTTCTGTTAGGTTGTGATATAGCATGACTACCAACCAATAACAATGATGAGGATCTAGCTCATTCTAAGCTTGGCTTACTCCACAGGTGATGACTTCTTATTCTAACTATCAGAAGTTCATCATGAACCAAGTTGACAGTGATGAACAAAATGCAATTCGACAATGAGTTCTTGGGTAATGAATAATTCCAATGTGGTTTTCATAACTGATCAATATCATTTTAAAAATGTTTGAAATCCTGTGAGAAATTTTGATCTCAAGATCGACTCCTTACGAGATTGTGAATGCAGTCTACTGACAAGTGTTAAATTTGAACGAAACACATCCGTAGTGTTTGATGATGAAGACTGATTTATACTTATGATTCAATAACTGAAGAGAATTTATTCACTCTATGGAAAATGAATTGCTGATGTACTTTCAAGTAAACTTTGATATTTTTTTTACTACCTTCTGATATTAGAACTATACATAACCAGTTTGCGAATGTGAAGAGAATTGTAATGCAATTCTGAGTTTGAGATAATATTGTAATGAAGTTAACAAGATGAAGAACTTCTATATATAAATGAAGGCGATATTTTTCACTTACCTTCACGTAATTCTGTTCTAAAGGTTACTAACATGAACTTTTTTAACTCATATTCTGGACAGGACAACAGTGAACTGTTAAAAGGTATTCCAGGGGGACTGAGACTGGAGTAGTTATACACATTAGGAGAAAAGTTCATTGCTTTTCCCCCATAATTTTGCATAGCTTCTCCCTGCTGTTTTGCCCATGACCATAAAATAATCTATATGGCTGTTTTCACACCGTTACTGGTTCGCCTTCCCTCTTTTCTCATGGCTAAACTCTCATTGGCTGTTAACTATTCTTATCTTTATGTGGATTTAGTGTTGTCAAAGTCATTTAGAAGTGTATATATTCATCATCGCTGTCAACGGTATTGACTGTTGTTCCGACAGTGAAAAGCTCCTTGTCAACAGTCTGTCTTCTCTTCTTATCTTTGCTCATCAACGGTATTGTTGTGGCGAAAGTTGATGTTCTGATTTGCGTTAGAGTTGACTCCTTGCACTTCAGGTTTGTATCGTTCGTAGACTGTTAGGTCGTACTACTGGTCATAGCATTCATATAGGTGACAAGTCAAATACAGAATGAAATGTCCATTTTGGATTCTACTACTACTTCCTAGTGTTCGTCATTAATATTAAAGCCAAATCTTTGATTACATCGAGGAAACCATATAACAGCAAGCAGTGACCAGTCAATTTGATCCAAACCACTCAACAATCAGGTGTAACTAGTCATATCATCGTTTCAAAGCTTTAATCAAAAAACATAGTTCATTTCAACAATTCGTACACGGTAAAGACAGTGAACATAGTTGGATATGGTGGACAAGATTACCGTAACTCCTTGTAGTCAATAAATGCCTTATATTTTATTCTACAGTGAAACATTTTATTCCTTACTCTCTTATCACCCACTACGTTGTTGTCTGGTAGTCCGAAGGATTCACTACACGAATTTAAGTCGATTTCATTTCCGAATAATTTCACACTTTCTTGTATATCAATGGTTGTCACAAGTCAACTATACAGATTGACTGAATGTTACCTCACCACGACATGTCACAAGATGTATGACAACTTTTTCCTTACTGATAAGTCTCCAAATCTACTAGTTATTGTGTTTACTGTTATGTATTTATGGGAATACAAGATCCTAACATATTCTCACTCTGACAATGGGCATATTTCAAACTCTAAAAACTGACAGTAACCCTTTGTTTATAAAGAAACTGGATGTCTCATTTAGTTAAAGAGACATATTTAATCTATCAACTAGTTTACTGTAGTTTACCAATGGTAATTGGTGAGGTTCACCATGCTCATGAAAATATTCAGACATGATCGTTTACATGAGTAGCACAAGAACGGATTAAAATTCTATAGGGGGATCTAACAATTATTGGTTACTCGCTTATGTTAAAGAGCGGACTGTATCAGTAAAATCACTGTCAAGATGTTTGGTTTAGCATGCACAACTGAGGTGAGTTTGTATAGCTGACAGTTGAGAAATGAGTCATCGTGACCATGAAGGGATCATTGATTGTTGAGCAGTTTCAGCAGAAAGAATCTTAACTTGAAATTATATCCTAGTCACTATACTTTTGACCTCAACTTGTGTAAATTCGTCGTTAATTGGACCGGATTGACCGGTCACTATTGGCATATGATTTGATGTACGTATGCATGATGCATAGTGGATGGGGCTGGCTATCGTGACTCAGTGAGATAAGGAATAGTGCTCTGGTGTTTGAAGCAAAGAGATGGAACAACATTACTTACTGGGAGGCATGCATGTGCAGGTGACGAGTCTCACGTAGGACGAAATGCTCCGAATTGATTCCACTAATACTCATCGGTCTGTGTAGGTTCGCTTGGTATACATTTTTTCGTGATGAAAGACCCTTTCATGTATGACCAGTGACAACTATCCTACAGATTTACTTCCTGTCCATTCAACAACACTGTTTTTCGGTTTATGCGTACACGTTGAGTGAATAACCTTTTCTATTCTCATCGAAACGGAATAATGCGATTTCATGAGATAGTTTTAAAAAGCTTCAGCGTAACAGTCGCAGATTACTAAGTAATTTCTTATTACGTCATCATTCGAACAAGTATCGAACATTCCGATGTTCTGAACAACGGTCTCACTGTACTTCTAGACTCTTATGATAGACGTAAATGAAAACACAGAAATCTAGAAATGGATGATGTAACATAACCTATCATCTTTACTGGTGTATGCATTCTTCATAAAGCGTATCGTTTAGCTTAAAAGTACTTGACTGGTATCCTTGAGATAATACGATCAAAAAATGGTTGGAGACTATTTACAAAATACCCGAAAATCGATCAGTATAATGCAAATGCATTGATCCTGTATCATTGTAATTTTTAATATTTTCGCAAATATTTCTTCATTCACTGGCCTAGTGGATAACGTTGTGGCTTTCGAAGTGATGGATGCGAAGCCTGAGTCTCAACGGGAACAACATCAGTTACTGAGGTGTAGGTACACCAGCTGACAAGTCCCAGATAGGACAAAACGCGCATCCTGGACTCTTCTGCTAGCCACAAACAAGTAAGTTACCATAATCCCTTCATTGATCTTACCGCCTTGCATACACTTTCATCGACTTCAACATCATTTCTTTCCTCTTTCTATGATCATGTAAAATGCGTGACAAGTTATATATACCTGTGAAAGTTTTAATCTGGTGAACCGATTAAGTCACCAATTAGAGCTTACATACTAAAGATTCTTCAAAATTTGTGTGAATCCTAGTCAAGATTTAATTGAATAGTTTCATCAATATTGGGTACCGAGAAAGAAGTTGACATATGATACACGTTATGTTTATTCGAAATTGTTCGAAATGATTTAAAATAGCGATAACAACTGAATGCCAAATTACTGTTTCCAAAATCTCACCGATTCTGTATTTTAGTTGATGACATAGACTCAATAAAGCTTGAAAACAATTTTTAGGGCTAACTTTAAAGGCCACCTTAACAACTGTTGAAATAACCAATCACGGTCCTCGATTCTAAGGAAAACTACCTTTGCATACGAGATTCTGACATTTGATTGGTTAATTTAGCAGTTGACAAGGTTGTCTTTAAAGTCAGCCTTGAGAATGATTGACTTTAAAGGCCACCCCAGCAACTGATGAGGCGACCAATCACATTCCTTTATTTTGTAGTAAAGTGCGTTTGCAGGCGAAATGCTGAAGCCTGATTGGTCTACTCAGCAGTTGCCAGGGTGACATCTATAGTACACCCATTTTTGTCAGATGTATGGCTTTTAAGAAAAAAAGCGTATTTAGGATTTCAGTATATCACTTTTAATGCCAAAAAGTACTTAACTAAGATCAAATATTTATCAGAAATTCTTTTATTAACAAATATTTCCAAATATTTTCGATGGAAAACACATAAAATCTCTTGTGTTCGCAGTTTGGTGCCAATTTCGATTCGATATTTTTACTTTATTTTGTATTAACTTTAGTTCTACTGAACTAATTCGCCTCAAAATTATCTAAGCGGAAGATATAATGTGCATCAATGACTATTGAATTTCAGAAGGATACAAACAACTGTTGTTGTCGAACTGATCTATCAGTTTTTTCTGTCATTTCATGTCAACGCATCAGTCCAACATAATTTTATTTGTCGAACACACAATGTCTTGTTTACCTGGAGTATGCTAAAAAACACATAGACCTGTTAGGTGAAAATGCTAACGAAAGAGTGAGAGAGGGAGTAAGGCAACAGAATGCTGCATTGATGAATTGGTTATTGAAGAAAATTACCTTGGACACCATTGGCTTGCTAGGTATTTCTTAATTTACTTTATATCTGTCACGAAAGAAATAACCAGCTGCTAATCGAAGCTAGTTCAGTCCATTTTAGTGTAAGTTCATGCGATGTGACCTTAGTGATCATACGCATCTTCATCTCATTATTCTTATAAGGAGGAATCAGCATATGAACAATGTTGTAGTTAGAATGAGAGTCATAGTTAGAGAAGACAGGTTACTCCATGAAGTTGTCGAAGGAAAGTGACAAAGATTTCTTA